GGCAAATGTGTGCTCAGCTAAAATTCACAGAATTACTGACAAACAGCTAAACGGCTGTTTGCAGACAACTGGAAGTTTCTGCCACAGTCCCTATAGTGTATTGTGTACATAGCAGCCAGTGATCTTTTCAAAATACAAATCAGATCACATCACAGCCTTGTTTAAAGTCTTCCAGTAAAGTCCCATTACATTTAGAACAAATCCATGCCCCTTACTCTCACTTCAGAGGTCCGATGTGACCTGGAGCCTGTGTATCTCTCGCCTTCCAAGTGCTCTCTACCAGAACACAGGCTTTCTTCTCATCACTTTAAACACATCAAGCTAATGCTTGCCTCAGGGACCAGCTGTGCTTTCTGCCAAGAATCTCTTTGGCTGGTTCCTTCCTGTCTTTCAGGTCTTGTGAGGATTCTCTGATTTCTAAATAAGCACTACATTTTCTCCTTCATCTTGCTTTATTTTCATTATGTATTACCTGGTATTTTGGGGCTTGTTTGTTGTCTCTTCTTACTAGAAAGAAGGACCTTGTCTGTCTGAATCATGGATGCATCTCCAGGGCATAAAAGACTGCCCAACCTCAACAGTACTCAATACAGACACAATGAACACATGGGGGTGACTGAGCATGACTCGTGTCTCTTCTTTGTAACTGCAACACATAGCACAGTAACTGACAGACATCTTGGTTAAACAAACAGTAGCCACACATGTGACCTCACTTTTTTTAAATGTGAGCACAAATCAGGGGATGGGAAAAGAACTGAGATTACCTCCACTCTCCTGAGATACCCTGCCACCACTGTTACTTTCCTCAAGCTGGCTCAATTTCCCTTTAGGTTAATAATTAAAGGTATCTCTACATATTCCTGTGTTAAGCAACTAAGTGGTGTAAACATAGGGCTTTTAAAATCTAATACAAGATGCTAGAACCACCTACCTGGTCTCCCTGCTCATTAGTAATTTCCTATAATGACAGCAGAATGGAGTTCAATTAGAGTCCACATACTATTTGACATGGCAGTCACTTGTTTTTGATAAACTATGTTCCAAAGATCAAAAAAAGTACCCAAATTTAATCATACTTTACTAGTTAAGAACAAAGATGGATGGTGAACTTTGGGATCACTCCAGCCTACATATGTTAATCACACTGTCAATCACTTTAGTAAGAAAGAGTAACTCTGTTGCAGAAGTGACAACTCTTTCCTGCAGAATGTGACAAACTCCTCCTTAGTCGAGCTGATCTGAGATGGCACTTTTGTATGCTCTATTTTAATGATACATCAGTCCTCCTGACTGCACAGCAACTACCATCACCTTCTAACATGATCAGGTCATATTTGAAAGACTACTGTGATAACTTCTTGTGCTGTAATTTCCAATGTTACTCTAGGCATATTTAAACCAACATGTCTTTATGTCATAGAAAGGATTGAACTTTCAGATTAGTATACCCTGTAATTTTGGAAGCAATATAACAAACATGTTGAAGTGTCAGTTCTTGGGGTCACCCTGGTGTTTGAGGTGACTGAGAGGGCAAAGCCTCCCACTAATCAACTCTGTTCTTGTCTGTTGTCCTTTTTTTTAAAGTGCTTCCTCACAAGAGTTCCTCTGAAGTCTGGAAGCCACTGGATTAGATCACCTCTTAAGATGCTCCTTTCCAACTCAAAGACAGTAAAAATTGGAATTTCCAGTGCCTCAGGGACATGTATTTCTAAGTACCAATAATTATTCTGCAGGAGCTTAAGTTGAAAAATGATAGGAGATCATGCTGGATGGGTGGTACCCTAAGAGCAAGGGGTAGCCTATTGTTTTAAAATGTCAGATATGAACTTTATTTACAGTCTATCATTTTTTCATCTTTTCTAAAAAGGACTGAAAGTGGCTTTCATTTGAACTTGTTTTGTAATACAGGATTTTTCCTAAAGAGTGAGTGTACTTTCAAAATGAAAGATAAACCAGATTGCAATTGCGGATTTACTACAACAAAACCATTATTTAGTAAGCCTTTTGAATTGACAGTGTTAAAACAGTTTTTCCCAAAGCCTGGAAGGAAAAGTCAAAAAGTTAATTTTTAACAAGGCTTTAGTATTAATGGACAAGTTTTTCAGTACCACATTTATTTCTGTATAACTACTTTACATTCTTGGGTGAGGTTTAAGAATGAAAAACAGGAGTTAATACTTGCACCGTCTCAGACAAGATTTTAAATACAGTGCCAAGGAGTATTTGTGCTCTGTTACATCACAAATGTAACCACAGTTTATACAGCTTTAAATATTGCTGAGTTCAACAGATTCTCCAGAAACAAGTGTGCAGAATGAATAAGAACAAAAAATAGATTTATCATCTTCATGTAATATTTACATGTGACTATAATGCTTAGTTAACCTTGACGGAAGGTTAACTCAAATTCTGTGAGGGCTACAGTAATCATAAGCAGTTAAAAGTGAATTATTTAGTTTCAACAACATAGGACGAGGTTTAAAAAGCCTAGTAAGGTTATCTTTTTGCCTTAAAGGCTGAAAGTAAAACAAGAATAATCAGTTGCATCTTAAATAACTAAAATTACTTTCTACTTAAAATCTCACACTCATTATGGCGATTTATTTTAGTAGAAACTGACCATAATATTCCAAACAAGGCTTTCATGGGTAATATCTACAATTATGTAAATAAATGTTAAACAGCTGCTTCAGATAAGAGCCTCTTTGATGTTGAAGCAATTCACTTTATAGATAATAAGGTCCCCTTTTTCATGCCTTGGAGCACACAATGAGTATGAGTACTGGGAAAGGCCAGTATCTTTTTAAAAGGCAATTTTTTAACAATAAAATATTTTTATATAGGTTATACATGCATTTGGTTAAAAAAAAAATCAAGTGACACAATGGGTGTGCAGTGAAACCAAAGTCTTCCCTTCATTCTTGTCTTTCTGTCCCCTGGATTTCTGTATTAGAATCAACTCCTGTTAACAATTTCTTGAATCTTTCCAGACCAATTCTTGGCATTTACAAGTTAATACCATAGAAGACTTAATAGCTTGCTTTCTCTCTAGGAAGCCGCCACCAACAGCAGTAACAACAACAACAACAACAATAATTCAGCTTGAGCTTTAAAAATACTCAAGCATGTAAAAATAGTGTATGTTGACTAACACGGAAAAAAGAAAAGCCAGACACTATATTGTTTTCACTGTAGCTCTGCCATCACCAGAATCCTTTCCTGAAAGGTGCAACAACTCAACGCTTCACCATATTGGCCAGAGAGGGCAGTGTGCACCCACCGCAAAGGCGAAGGAAGAAACGCTGCAAATCCCTTCACCATTGGAGGAGGCTCTAACAGCCCCTGCCCTAACCAGCTCAGTTTTATCAAGTTCTGCAGGTAAAGCGGTGTGACAGATCTACGCGATGTCATCCGGGGGCTGCCCTCAGATGCTCGGTCAGTAGGATGCTGACAACCTTACCGTGGTGAGGGCGCAACTGGACAACGGCAGAAAATTCAGATAAGCAGAACGATCAGAAATCCTACTGTGCATACGGTTTATCATGAAAGAGTAAAACAAAACATTCATTTCCCCGGAATGACTGTAAAAATTAAGAGTTAGAGATATGAAAACCACAGGACGAATTTCAGAGTTGTTTTCAATTGTAGTATAATAAAGAAATCACTAAGCATTTATGGTTTGTGAAATATTCATCAGCTAGAAAGTCCTGGGTTACCTTAGTGTAAGCTGTAGATCGGTTTACAGTGGGGTAAACGTTTTAAATTAAATTACTAACATCTCGGTCACAAATTTAGGAATATTTGGAGAGGAGATAATGTGTCCAATTAAAATCAAAAGCAAAATTACACGGAACTTTCTAATAAAACAAATGTGAACAAAGTGTTGTTATGGAGCAGGAAAAACACCAAGATCTGTCTCTCTACAAATATTAAGAAACAGTGCTAAGCTATACGTGACACGTTAATAATGCCTCAGTTGTACCCTCAATATTTTAAAAAAGAACATGTGATGACATTACAAACATACAGATATTCAATATTGTCTAAATAAATCAGCAGGGGGAAAAGAGAAGTCCTTTACGGAGTGTTGGTGCTTTCTCCCTCTGGAAATTGAAAAGACGATTTATTCAGTCCGAGTTTCAGCAGCAACTTTGTATCCCAATCCTAATTATCTATGTATATAAATTTTCCTCTAGATTACCGCCTCTTGGGAAATGCAAAGCGGCTGGAGAGTGCTTTAGAGCTCTGCGCTCTTGGGAAGCCAAGTGTTTTAATTCCTGGTACAACAAATTAGTAAGAACCGAACACCAGCGGCGGGGAATTCTGAGACCTCCGGGGAAGCTGGAGGAGCGCAGTTCCGGGGAGTGCCCGGGCTCAGCCCGAGCAGCCGCGCTCCCCCGGGTCGGACTAGCCGAGCCGGGTCCACGGCGCCCGCGCGCCGCCCCCGGAGCCCGCAGTGGTGCCGCAGCCTCAGCGGCCGCAGCAGTTGGGACCCCGCCGGCCCGGCAGGCCCAGCTCCCCGCAGCGAGGTTGGCGCGCCGCGGGGCTGTTCGAAAACCGCTGCACGACGTCACGGCCGCGGCTTTTATTGTTCTCATGGCATTACTTTTTGCCATCACATCTGGAGAAAGAGCGGCCTTCGCTCCACGACAGGAATCTCACAACTTTGCGAAGCGATAGGCGGAATTCTACGGAAGCGGCGCGAGGGCGCAGCTCCGAGGGCCCCGTGGGGCCCAGTCCTCCCAGCCGCCTTCTCGACCCGATCCCCTTTCCCATTCGCGCCCGGCGAACGTCGGCTGGACTCGCAGGGGCCGAAGGCGGCGCGCCGGGAGAGCCGGACAGTGAGCGCGCCCCGCGGTCCGCTCGGAGTCGCCGCCAGTACCGCCAGACAAAGAGGCGCGTCGGGTCCGGGGATCAGGGAAGGGACGCGGCAGCCGGGCAGGGAGGCGCGCCAGCCTCGGCCCGCAGGGGGCGCCGTCCGCGGCCCCAACACTTACCTTTGAGGACCGAGCAGAGCCGCTGAAGGGCCATGTTCCCGAGCTGCCCGGCGCTTCGCAAGAGGCTGAGGCGGCTGCAGCGCGGGGCTCACGGCCCGACGCAGCGGCGGCGGCCCCGCTCCATCCTCATCGCCGGCCAGCAGGTGCCTCCCCGCGGGGCAGGGCTCAGGTCCTGCGGCCCGCCATGCCCGAGTCCCCCCGACGAGCGACGCCTCCTGCTCCGCGGCGCCTAGTCCCATCGACCGCCCGGGGGCCGAGGAGGGCGGGCGCGCGGCGTGGGACGAGCCGTCAGCTACAAGCGCGGCCCCGGCGCGGGATCTACTGAAGTAGAGGGCGCGGGGCGACCAGGCTCATTTAAGCAGGGAGCGCGAGCGCCGCGTGCCGGCCGCGCCGCCTGTGCGCATGTGCCCGCCCCGCCCCGCCCCGCGCCTGGCGCGCCCGCCGCGGCCTCGCGCCCCGGGACGGCGTCGCTCCCCACCGGCTGCCGTTAGGGCTGGGGACCCGCGGGGCGCGGGGGATGCGGGGGTACCTCTCGCCTTGGCGGCGCGGTGCCCTCCCGCTCCGAGAGGTCGACGCCGGGGCATAGCCCGGCCGGTGCCCGGCCGCCGCGCAGGGTGCCCGGGGCAGCGGCCCCAGCCCTCGAGGCCTCCCGCCTGATGGAGTCTCCCCGGAAGCGCCGCCCACCCTGGCCCCTCACCCTCGCCCGCCTGCCCCATCTCCGCCCACCCTCTCAGACGGAAAGGGGCGCTGACCTCCGGTCCCCCGGACCTCGATTCAAGGTCAAAACTTCGCCCACCTCAGCCTTGCTCGACCCCGAGCAGGGAGACGCGGACCTCAGCAGAGGGAGCCAGAGGCTCTCCCTGCCCTTCGCGCCAGTGGGTTCCCGATCCGCCGCGCTGCCGGCATCTCCCCAGCGGCTGCCAGGCTAACAGGCACTTTAGTAACAACTCCTTAGACTCCCCTCATGAGGTAGGTTGTAGAGGATGGGAAAATCGAGGCCAGAGGTGAAGCCATTTGTCCAGAGCCACACAGCAAGTGAGCGGCAGGGCTGTGCACCCTCTCCCGGGGCTGCCCTCCTCAACTAACCACGACGCTGGCCGGCTTTTCCCGCTGATAGGAGTCTCCAGGCCTGCCAACAATTGACTGGTTCTTGGGGGTATTCGTGATTCTGCTTTATTTTCTCCGTGGCGGTTATCACACTGATATGACCGTCCTCATTTATTTATTTGTTCATCCTTTGTATCTCCCTCACCCCTACACCATTAAACTGTCAGCTGCTTGCAGGCAGGGAGATTGCATTCATTTTTTTTACTCCACGGTAAGTATTGGGTGTTAATTATGTGCAGAAGACAATGATTGGTGCTGGAGAAACAACCGCAATCAAGGCCCTACCATAATAGAATATTTATGCCTATGTCTGCAGGTAGGAGGAACTCTATAAATGTTTGTCTAACCAATTGTAGCTAAAGACAATGTCAGGCAACTGAAAATTTTTTCAGGTGTTAAGCTCTTCTGTCTTTGTATTCCTCCAAGAAAGGCTCAAAAGCATAAGCAATTCACAAGATGTACAAAGGAAAAACATTTCGCACCAATTAATGTCGAGGTGTTTCACCCTTTGCCATGGTGCTGTGGGGGGACATTTTAAAATATGTGTAAGTCTGGGTTCGTAAAGGTAACCACCTACAGTTAAGATCGCACACAACCAACTAGGACATAAAACATTTGAGAACCTTTTCCTACGCGTATACTAAGGTGGCTGGGCGTGGTTGCTCACGCATGTAATCCCAGCACTTTGGGAGGCCGAGGCGGGTGGATCACATGAGGTCAGGGGTTAGAGATTTGCCTGGCCAACTTGGTGAAATCCCATCTCTACTAAAAATACAAAAATTAGCCGGGTGTGGTGGCCAGCCCCCTGTAGTCCCAGGTACTCGGGAGGCTGAGGCAGGAGAGTGGCTTTAACTCGGTAGGCGGAGGTTGCAGTAATCTGAGATCATGCCACTGCACTCCAGCCTGGGCAACAGCGAGTCTTCGTCTCAAATAAGGTGGCCTAATGGTAGAATAGGACAGTAAGAAGACAATGGTAAGTAAGTCACAGACAACAGTGAACAAAAAAAATTTGAGAGGAAGGGACTCTCAGCTTCTGGAACATAATAGGTTCTTAATGTGAAGTTGTTGACTAAAGGAAAAAATCAGTGTGCGATGTCATCAGAGAAGGCATCCTGAAGGGGGTGACATATAAACCATGGAAAGGCTTGGGGTGGTGATAGGAGAGGCGAGGAGGCAGAAGAAGAAGAGCTCAGCAGGCAGGGAGCAGGGTGAGCCTGGAACGTGGGGCAAGTGTTGTGTTTGGTATTAAAGATGAGGTTAGATATGGTGGGCTTTGATTATGGAGATATGTGCATGAATGCTAGTTAGGTGAATGGTGACTTTTAATAGTGGAGTAATGGAGTTCTGGGAAGATTCATGTGTTAGTTGAGGTTGTAATAAAAGGGGAGAGATTAGAGCAACCACAAGAATTCCAAAAGTAGATCTATAATACTTCTGCGTTTACTTCAGTAGCTCTTACTGATAGTATTATTTTGATTAAACCTATTTCTGCTCTAGAATGTTGGCTTGAGAGTAGATTCCAACTGGGAATGTTCATTTTGTGGCTCCCTTTTAAGACACCTATCTTTTAAATGTGCTGGTGGAATCATCTGCAGTCGATTTTTTGAGGAATGTAGGAAAGCACAGATCGTAGCTGAGACTACTGTGTGACCATATGTTAGCCAAATATAAAGGGAGGCAGTTTTCATATCTCTCACTTGGGTATTCTGTATTGAATTATTATTTTCCTGGAAGATTACCCAGTAGCACCCAGTCTGTTTCCAGATTACCTGCTAGTTCCTGGGTGACTGAGGACTTTGCTTTCCTTGCAAAGGAAAGGCATCCATTCAGGCTCTCTGACTCCTCACAATAATTCCTATAGTCTGAATTAAGTTTTCTCTGACCAAGTCCCATGTGGCACATGAATAGTGTTGCATGGCATTTACTTGTTATTAGAATGAACCATTTTTTTAAAAAAGGAAGCATTTTATTGTCAATGTTTATACACTTAACAGATTTTTGTTGTCTCTCTGTTTTGCTATTGTTTGGGAGCGTTAACATTCTATTACATGGCAGCCAAGGAAGGCAGGTTTTTGTGTTTAAAGATTGTTACTTACTGTGTCCCCTCGTAGTTCATATGTTGAAACCCTAACCCACAGTGTGGCTGTATTTGAAGAGGAAGGCCTGGAAGGAAGTAATTAAGGTTAAATGAGGCCGGATGGGTGGGTCGCTGATCTGAAAGAAATAGTGTCCTGATGAGAAGAGACATCAGAGAGCCTGCTCTCTCTTCATGCACAGGCACCAGGAAAGGCCATGTGAGGACACAGCAAGAAGGCAGTCATCTGCAAGCCAGGAAGAGCATCCTCATCAGAAACTGAATTGGCTCCTGCCTTGATCTGGGACTTCAGCATACAGAACTGTGAGAAAATATGTCTGTTGTTTAAGCTACCCAGTCTGTGGTATTTTGTTGTGGCAGCCTGGACCAGCTAATACAGAGATTATAACTAAGGACAGAAGAATTTAAAAAGAACCAAACTTTTATGTGCAGAAACACTATTTGTAGTAAAATATAATATGAATCTTGAACTTTACAGCAATGGTGACATTTAGTGAAAAACAATTAGGTGAGTTCTCAGTATATGAAGATTTCAGTGTTTATTACACAACTGTAGGTTTTTAAGAAAGGAATAGAGGAAAATTATAATTTTTAAAAAGTGCTTTCTATTAGTCTGCTCAGGCTGCCATGGCAGAATTACACTGTAAGCTACAGACTGGGTGGCTTACTGTATAGAAATGTATCTTCTCATGGTTCTGGAAGCTGGTTGGTTTCCACTGCAGCCTCTTTCCTGGCTTGCAGACTATCACCTTCTCACTGTCTTCAGTGGCCTTTTACTCTTTCTGTATGCACCCCTGGTCTCTTCCTCTTCTCATAAGGACTCTAGTCCTATTGGATTAGGGTCCCACCCTTCTGACCTCATTTAACTTTAATTATTTCCTTAAAGGCCCTGTCTCCAAAAAGTTATATAGAGGGATAGGGCTTCAACATGTGAATTTGTGGAACACACAATTCAGCCTGTAAAATGCATGAACCACAATCATTCCTGTGTTAATGATATTGAAGAAGAGCTGTCAGGGAGTCAAAAGAGTTCTTTCAGTAACACTGTCCCCTAAACATCTAAATTTCTAGTTAGCATAATTTTAAACAAAGAATGCTTTTAAGAAATATTGCTTCCTACTAATTACTAAAGTATTTCATCTTTACCAGGAAAATTTCAAATTGTCAAGAAAATTTTTGGTCATTAGTTACTTTCATTTGATTGTGAAAAACTAAGAAATGTCCTGATTTTAGTCATGTGCTATGTAACAACCTTTTGGTGGATGACAGACCACATACACAACTGTGATCCCATAAGATTATAATGCCATGTTTTTACTGTAGTTTTTCTATGTTTAGATATCATTAGATATGCAGATACTTACCATTGTCTTATAATTGCCTACAATATTCAGTACAGCCACATACTGAACAGGTTTGTAGCATAGGAATAATACACTAGACTATAGAGCCCAGGTGTGTAATAGGCTACACCATCTAGATTTGTATAAGTACACTCTATGAAGTTTGCACAATGACACATTTCTCAGAATGTATGTCTGTTTTTAAGTGACAGATGACTGAATATTTCTTAGAATAAAGTTGCTAACATATATGGTATCTTTTCTTCAAAACCAAAATCCCATGTTGAAAAGAGATGTGTTTACTTAAACCTATTTACTTTCTAACCTGGTTTTCTTTCATTAAAAAACAACAACCCCTTCAAGAAAAACCCTGTTTACTAAAAGCTGAAACAAATGTTAGTTTATTGGTGCAATATGAAACCATAAAGTGTAAATTCTTGATTCAGTTATTTGGTAATGTTTTTTAAATAATAAAAATTTCTTATAAATTCAACTTAAGGGCTTAATGGACTGTGAACATGTGTGCTGGCTTATATTCTTATGCTATTTAAAACTAACGTGACTGGAATGAATCTATTTAACTATATGTCAGTGTTATTTAATTCTTATATTTGTGAGAAAGGTATATCTGAATTATTGTAATATTAACAAATCTCAAACTATTTTTGTGCTATAAAATATATACTCTAAGACTTGTAATGAAGTTTCTGTTTCTAGATATGCGATCTACAAAGGGATCTTTGGGAAAGTTTTATAAGATTTTTTTAAAATTGTGAAATATTCATATTTAGAAAAGTATCTTAAACAAATATGTGTGTACAGTTTATTAAAGTGAATAACCATGTAAATACTACCCAAATCAAGAAATGAAACATCATCTATATACTAAAGTCCTCCATATTCCTCTGCCTGGTCATAATCTCCCAATTCCCTAGAGTTTATCAGTATTCTTACTTTTATTATTTGCTACCTTTTCTTTGTAGTTTTAAAAATAAATACATCCTTAAACTATTTATAGTTTAATTTTTCCTATTTTTGAACTTTATATGTATGAGTGGATCATGGTATATGTATGCTTTTGTGTCTTGCTTTTTGGCTTAACTTTGTGAGATTAATCATGTGGTGTGTGCAAGTGTAGTTCATGAAATGTCATGGCTGTATAGTATTTCATTATATAAAAATCCATGTAGCTGGATATTTAGGCAGTTTCTAGATTTTGGCCATTGTGAACATAGTTGCTATGAACATTTTTATACCTATAGCCTGGTGCACATGTGTGAGAATTTCTTAAGAGTAGAGTGATACGTAGATTTAGAGTATGCATATCTTCTACTTTAAATAAAACCAACCACTGCTTTTACTTTTTTTTTTTAAACTTAGTCCCATTAAGTGCATCAGACTTTTGTTGCTCCACATCCATACCAATATTTGGTTATTGTCAGCTGTTAATACTTTTTGTCAATCCTTTTGCTTAATTTTTTATTGGGCTGTCTTTTTCTTTCTAAATCATTTTGTAGGATTTCTAGATTTTGAGTAAAGTCAGTTTTATTTGTTGAAAATATCTTCTTTCATTTGGTGACTTCTCTCCACACTTTTTATAGTTATTGTGGACAGTTATTAATTTTAATATACTTTAATATATCAGGAGTTTCCTTTAGAGATTAGTGTTTTTTTAGTAACTTGAATAGGAAACCCACTGTTACCCTAGGATCATGAAATTATTCTATTAAGTACTAGAAGCTTATATATTTGTATTCACATTTCACCTTCAATCTACCTGGAATTGATTTTTCTGTGTGATGGGGGTGCAGTTACCTTTTAGTTAATGAATTGTCTCAGCTTATTTGTTGTTAAAAGGCTGTTCATATTGCATTGCTTTGCAGTGCAGTGTTGCTGCCTTCTTGAATCAAACGTCCATGCATATGAGTCTTTCTCTGCACTCTTTAATATGTTCCATGGGTCTGTCTATTTATTCACTAATACCACACTCTGTTAATCACCTTAACTTTTTATTTTTATTTTTTTTGAGACAGAGCTTCGCTCTTGTCATCCAGGCTGGAGTGCAATAGCATGATCTTGGCTCACTGCAACCTCTGCCTCCTGGGTTCAAGCAATTCTCCTGCCTCAGCCTCCTGAGTAGTTGGGATTATAGGCATGTGCGATGATGGCCAGCTAAGTTTTGTATTATTAGTAGAGTCAGGGCTTCAACATGTTGGCCAGGTTGGTCTCCAACTTCTGACCTCAGGTGATCCACCTGTCTCAGCCTCCTAAAGTTCTGGGATTACAGACGTGAGCCACCATGCCTGGCCTAATCACCCTAACTTTTTATTGTTTTGTTATCTGGTAGAGCAAGTCCTGTTCTTTTTCAAGATTGTCTTGGCTGTTCTTGGTCTTTTATATTTCTGCATACATTTTAGAAACTGCATAGCAAGCTCAACAACACAGTAACTTATTGGGATGAGTGGAGTTGGGAGGGGTTTGACATCTTTGCAATTTTGAGTCTACCTGTCCATTAACATGGTACATATGTGCATTTATTGAAAAATTTTCTTAGTGTTTCTCAGAAAAGTTTTATAATTTACCAGACAGAGATGTGTGGTACATCTTGTGTTGTATTGATTACTAGGTACTTGACTTTTTTCATGCTGTTATGTTACCTGTTTTAAATCCCATTTTCTAACTGATCATACTGGGATATAAAAATGCAGTTGATTTTAGAAAGTGCCAAACAGTTCCCTAGAGTGGCTTTACCATTTTGCTTCCCCACCAGCAATGTATGAAAATTCTAGTTGTTCTTCATCTTTATCAGCACTTCGAATTGTCAGTATTCTTTGTTTTATCCATGAAAGCATTCTTTATGATAGATGTGTAGTGGTATTTCTTCATAGTTTTAGTATTCATTTCCCTAATGGCTTATCCTGTTGAACATTTTTCCATGCGCTTGTTTGCTACTGATATATCCTCTCTAGTGAAGTACCTTCAAGTTATTGTCCACTCAAATTGTTTTTTATTTTTAATGGTAAAAAGATGTTTATTTAGACTTAGCCAGCTGGACTCAGTTTAGATGACTCCAATCTTGTTGGTAACATCCAAAGCATCGTAAGCAGGAGCCAGTTAAACATACACCTTCTCTCCATTGGGCCTGATTGATCAGGCCACATCAGTGTCTCAGAGCTTCTCCACATCCTGTTTGCTCTGGTGCATGTTGGCTTTGGCATCCACAATGACCTAAAGTGTGTTGTTATCTTGTTTTCTTCATGGCAGACTCAATGGTCAGGGGGAATCAGGCAGAGTGGTCAAGTTTGTTTCTCTTGGGGGCACTCTTCTGAGGTTATCTGGGCTGTCTCTGGAGCTGTAATGTCTCCGGCTACTGGAAGGTGGGTAAAGTGCAGATATTCCTTTTTGTATGTGGCTGTGGATGCTTTCCAGCACTGCCTTCTTGGCCTTCAAAGCTTTTGCTTCGGTTTCAGCTTTGGGAGAGGCAGGAGCTTCCTTAGGTGTTATCTTGTCTGAGTGGTTATATTGTTGAGTTTTGAGAGCTAAGGATCCAAGTCTGTTGTTGGATATGTGATTTGAAAATATTTTCTTGGTTGGGCATGGTGGCTCATGCCTATTAATCCCAGCACTTTGGGAGGCCAAGGCAGATGGATCATTTAAGGTCAGCAGTTTGAGACCAGTCTGACCAACATGGTGAAACCCCATCTCTACTAAAAATATAAAAATTAGCTGGGCATGGTGGTGCATGCCTGTAGTCCCAGCTACTTGGGAGGCTGAGGCAGAATTGCTTGAACATGGGAGGCAGAGGCTGCAGTGAGCTGAGATCACACTGCTGCACTCCAGCATGGGTGACAGAATGAGACTCCATCTCAAAAAAAAAAATTTTTTTTCTTTGCATATATACCTTGTCCATTCTCTTGGAAGTGTCTTTGTTAAGGCAAACATTTTTAATTTAGATGAAGTCACATTTATTAGTTTTTTGAAAAGATCATAACTTTGGTGTCATTTCTAAGAACTCTGCTTAACCCTAGCTCATGAGGATATTCTGTATGTTCTTTTAAAGTTTTATCATTTTACGTTTTAAATTTATGACCATTTTGAGTTAATTTTTATATAAGGTGTGAGGTTTAGATTAAGGTTCTTTTTTTTCCCTTTACCCTTAGATTTATGGCAAATACTGACACTGTTGAAAAGACTGTCTTCCACTCAGTAACTTTTACATCCTTGTCAAACATCAGATGTCTGTATTTGTGTGGGTTTATTCCTGGACTCTATTTTATTCCATTGGTCTACGTGTCTCTCTTTGCCAATACCACACTATCTTTATTACTTTAGCTTTATAATAGTTTTTAAGTCACACAGTTTGATTTCTTCAACTTTGTCTTCTTTTTCAAAATTGTTTTAAACTATCCTACTTTCTTTTCTCTTTCATATAAGTTGCACAAAATCTTGTCCATATTCACCCCAAGATAACTGCTGGGATTTTGATAGGGATGGTGTGAAATCTACAGATCCTTTGGGGAGTATCAAGTCTTCCTTGATTTCTTTCATCACCCTTCTTGTTTGTTAATACATGCATTTAATATTATAAATCTCCCCTCTCGGCACTGCCTCCTAAAAATTTTAGTATGTTGTATTTTTCGTTTGGCTCAAAAATATTTTAAAATTTCCTTTGAGACTTCTTTTGACCCTATAGTCATTTAAAAAAGTTAATTTCAAAATATATGGCTGTTTTCCATGTATCTCTCTAGTTCAAATCTATTATAGTCTGATAATCTACTTTGTATGATTTCGATTCTTTTAGATTTGGTGAGACTTGTTTTATGGCCCAGAATATGGTCTATCTTGGTAAGTGTTCCATGTGCACTGGAAAAGACTATTTTGCTGCTTTTGGTTAGAGAGTTATATAAATATCCACTAGGTTAGATGGACTGAGTGCTTTTCAGGTTAGCTCTAAGCTTTCTGATTTCCTGCCTACTTTACTTTTTCCTTCAGTTACTGGAGAAGAGTGTTGATGTCTCCCACTTAAATAGCGATTTTGTCTATTTCTCCTTACAGGTCGGTCAGTTTTTTCTTTTTAGTTTATGAACATTTAGGTTTTTTTTTTTTTTTTCTTTTTTAAATGTCAAGAAGAGGGGACTGATCTTGGGTGAGTCTGTTCTCTAGATGAGGCTGGCAGATGAACAGTGATGGCATTCCCAGAAGTTAGGATAAGAAGTCGTTTATTCTTGATGCTGGATCTGGACATACCACAGCATTAGCAGGAGTATTTAGTTTTGTTTCTGGTTATATTCTGGTGATATTTTCTTAGGAATTGGTCCATTTTGTATAAACTTTCAGATAGTATAAAATTATTCTCAGTCTTCCTACTTTAATAAATAGATTATCTGTAGTTAATACCCTTTTCATTTTTTTTTTTTTTGAGATTAGGCAGAGAAACTGAACTGTGATGTGTTCTCAATGGAATGCCACATACGACCCTACATCGAGTTCTGAGATAGGATGACCTTTCCTATCTCCTAACCTGTCCCAAGTTAGAATACGAAGGCTGGGCCTTTACATTCCCACATTCATCAGTTGGCTGCCCCAAAGGCCTCTAACAAGAAAAGGAAAACAGGTACAAATAACCAGTATCAAAAATGAAAAGGGTACTCAGGCTTCGTATTCTAACTTGGGACAGGTTAGGAGATAGGAAAGGTCATCCTATCTCAGAACTTGATGTAGGGTCGTATGTGGCATTCCATTGAGAACACATCACAATTCAGCTTCTCTGCTTAATATTGTTTCCTTCCTTTCCCTTATACAGTTGTGGATCAAAGGCACTCCCTAATCTATTTATTTTATTAGCCTTTTAAAATAACTGGTCAGGTGCAGGTAATCACAAGGGCCGGTTTCCTTTAATTCACCTTTATCCCGAGGAGTAAGCCCTTAAGTATCCTAGATCAGTCCTAGGTATATCACTGAGGTCTGCTGGACACATTTTAAGTTTTTGTTTCTTTTTATGAGGTATTCTAGCTACTTGCAAGGATGGGGCAATGTAAAGGGTTAGTTCAAATAAATGGTGTATTAACAACATATTTACAACATCTTCAAAATGATTGATTAATAATTCTTAATTACTCCTCCTAGCTCCCCAAAGATGGATGACACAAATGTATAGTCAGTGGGAAAAAAATGTCAGAAAATGTTAGTCACTGTAATGGGATGGGAAGGAAGAAAAGAGCCAGCACTTATCAAGTACCTTCTATGTACAAACTGCCATTTCAGACTCATAGCAGTCCTTGAAGGTAGGTATCACTCAGTATCTTTGTTTAACAGATGAAGAAACCAAAGTTCAAAGAAGTGGCTGATTCAAAGTCATGAAATCAGGGAGTTGGGCTCTGATTCCAGATTGGTCTGACCTCAAAGCCCTGTTCTCTTTCCACTGCAATATTCAAAATGAAAACAAAGGTCTTTGTTAGTGATTCCAAATGTGTGACATAGTTTTTACCTACTATCCCTTAATATTAAAGTTGCATTTGGAAATACAGAAGCAGTATTAATGTCACTGACTGTAGTTTTAATTGTCATTAACATTTTATCTGTCTTGTAAACACTGACTCCACATGAGTTTTAAGACTCAGGCTATCCATAGATAAGGAGCCCACTTGTCTTTGGGAAAGTGTGGTACCTGGCCCAGTGCTGTGGGTTGATAACTAGTGAATTTAACTGAATATTGCAGTCAGGAGAGTCCCTTCTTGCCCGTGACCCATACAGAGGCAGTGGGCAAGTTACCTTATCCTAGTCTCCCAGTGCAGATGAATGCTTTCATAAGCTGTAAGGTCTCTTCATGTTCCAAAATAATTATTTAAAAACTCACCAAAATACTTTGTTTCAATAAGGAATATTTATTAAGAAGACATGTTAACATGCTTAGATACAAAGCCACTCTCAGTGAAATGTAAAGAAAAAAATCACATGAAGAACAAAATTGTTTTCAGAGAAATGTTGTTTTATAGTCATTACATGTCCATTTGCGTATTAGAAAATTATTAGCATTGGTAAACTTTTTTTCTCAGTCTTTAACTCTTTTTAAAGTAATTTTTTGGCAATGTGAAGTTCACAATATAAAATTTGCATTGAAGTCTGATAGGAAATTATAGACTTCTCCAAGCCTTTGAGAATAGAAATGTGATTGAAGATTTGCATTCCCAGATGCTGCCTACAGCAATTTCCTTTCAAGAAATCAAATGTTCTTCATTATCACATGATAAGGATCAGTTTTCAGAGGAAAATTTTTAGGGCACATTAATTCTTGGAGAGTACTATAATTTTTAGTTAATATGAGCAAGTAAATCTTTATAGATGTCAATCATCAAGAATTTGGCTTTTCCAAAGACTATTATTTCCTCATGCCTGAAAATAAAATTCTATCAAGTTTGTATATTTCTATAATTAATTAGATGTATAAGTCTAATAACATCATCTAAAATAGTAATAATGACAACTACCATGTATTGAGCACTGACTCTGTGCTAGGCACGAAGCTATATATCATCCCATTTAATGTTTACAATAACTCAAGTATTATTAACTCAAGTATTATTATACTGAATAAACAAGAAAACTAAGGCTTAGAGAAGTTAAACAAAAGCCAAGTCCAAACAATGACTTTGTAAGTGGGGGAATTAGGAGTTTAAGGCAAGTCTGTCTTACTGTGATACAAAGTCAGAGTACCCGATCACTATATTGAATGCCAACAGTGAGAGACCCCTGCCCTGCTGCGATGAAGCTAAATGCATAATAACTGTGATATATTCACAAAAGTGTAATTTGCATCATTAGAATAAGAAGCAAGACCAAGCCAAGTGGACACAAAAATTCCTGCTCATTTAAATATTTTTATTTACATGTCTTTTTCCATCATCATGACTCTAATAAGATTATAAATCACAAACACTGGAATACATGCAACACATTCCACAAAGGAACAAAAATGTACAGCACTAAGGAATAAAGAATCCAAATTTATATACAAAGTGCTTAAAAAAAAAGACCTTGTGACATATTCAAACCATATTTATTTGAATACTTTCCAATAATTACCAAGGGCTACATCATTCATAAATAATATTTAATCTCCCCTATTTTCTTTTTTAAGCCAGAATTTGTGTTTCAACTCATCAAGTGAACAGCCATTCCATTATGTAATATTAAAGGCAAGTCACATAGCATCAAAATGAAACCGGTGGGCTTCTTGTCGTTTTTCTCTATCATCTGCTTTCTGAAAAAGAATTTTAGACTCGTTTATAAATGGTAGGAGAATGTTATGAAAAGACTAATTTCTGAAATACACAGTTATTCATTTTTAGAGGTCTCCAGCAATTAGTAGATAATAGATATGATTTCCTAATGCAATAATCCTAGGAAGTATTATTGTAGTTTATAGTAGCTATTTTATAATTAATGATCTAATTGAATAAAAAACCAACAAGAAATACTTAAATATTTAGGGCACTTTAAATACTTAGGGTCCTTAAATACTTAGCTTCTTATCATTTATTATCTATTTGAAAATATGAATAAGCACTAGATTCTATAAGGATAAATCAATGATTGCATTTTTCTCTCATTCTTAACACTGATGTTAATAAACAAATCTAGTGGGTGGGTGTGGTGGTGGCTCATGCCTGTAATCCCAGCACTTTGGGAGGTCAGGGAGTGTGGATTACTAGAGGTGAGGAGTTCGAGACCAGCCTGGCAAACATGGTAAAACCCCAACTCTACTAAAAAAATTCAAAAATTAGCTAGGGGTGATGGGCATCTGTAATCTCAGCTACTTGGGAGGCTGAGGCAGGAGAATCGCTTGAACATGGGAGGTGGAATTTGCAGTGAGCCAAGACTGCACCACTGCACTTTAGCCTGGGTGACAGAATAAGACTCCATCTCAAACAAAACAAAAGAACAAATCTAAACTAATTATATTAAAGTACTAATATACTAATTATTTTTTAGTTAACTTGTTAATTTAGCAGTTATTCATTGGCCCTTTGCTCCTAATACTCCCAATACCAATACTGTGTTTGGTATTTTAAGATTAAAAGAACCTCAGTTTTGTATCTTGTCCTCCAAAAAGACAAATGCAAAACATACTGTGTAACTGTAGTTCAAGATAAAAAGTGAAAAATGTTACCAAGTCTAAGAGACTACTTCTAGATTTGGGTGAGGAAAGGGAAAGCTTTGAAAAGACATGGAAAGCATTTCAAAGCATAGAAATGGTGGGAGCAGCATTCACTCCAAGCTGGCGGTACAACATCAGCAATCTTGAGAGGGCTGGAAGGAGCACGGATATGTGAAAGGAACTGGTAAAAAAATAAGACCGTGGAGTCACATGTAAGTATATGCTGGCCAGGCCAAGGATTTTATATATAAAAGTCACCAGAGCTTTTTGAGCAGGGGAGTGACATGATGAAGGCTAAACTGAATGATGAGTTGTCTGGCAGCAGTGTGCTAAATGGAATGGAAAGGGGAGAGAACAGAAGGAGAGAGGCCAAGTAGGACGTAAGAAGGGGCTGGGCTGAAGCAGTGTGGTAGGAATGTAGAAGTGGAGTCAACTGAAAAACTTCTTATGGAGGCAGAGTCCATAGGCAAGTGATGAAATCTTATAGGTAAGTAAGAGAGATGAAGCTTTAGAATGCTGGTTTTGAGGTATTTGTAAGTCATCTAGGTTGAGCTATCACGGTGACAGTCGGAAATGGGAAAGAACCTTTAGGGATAAGAGCTGGGGATATCCAAAGCCATGATTTTAAATAAGATTGGCAGGGAAAGTGTTGAAAGAAGAGGGCCAGGGGCAGACACTGTGGAAAGCTTGCATTGAGAAAATGGTAGAAGGAACCAGCCGGCTTGGGTAAAAAATCGGTTACAGAGGTTCTACCTCTTTGAGATACCACACTGCCACAGGAGACACAGTATATATGTGGTCAAATATATACTTGTGCTTAAAACTTTAATTTTGGGCCACTGCATAATTACTGTTATAAGCCCACAATGTTTATGCTGTAATCAGATCTACTGAGGAATTAATGAAATTAATTTCCTTTGCTTCGTAGGTCAAGAACTATGGAATCTTTCAGATGATATTCTGATACTTCTGGACAAAGTATATATGGTTGTCTTTGATCTTACTCTTAAGTTGCAATCTTCAAGTTAACTGAATATGTGATTTCATGTTATTGTTTTTGATATATAAAGCAATGATTTTTTTAAAAGCGACAAATGTATGAACATTTATAGAACAACGAATATGCTCTATTTTTCATACGTTAAAAGAACAAAGACAGTAAGTTTAGCTAGCAAAAAATGATTATGATGTCATGATGATTCAGAGTGTAGGTGCAAAAAAAGAAAAACACCTTTCTTTTGTGCCACAAAGAAGCGCTTTTTAGAGGGCATTAATTTGAACCCATATACAAATAGAAATTAGCTTTTCAATTATATCTAAACTGCTAATAAACTTATAGTGATAGCTTCTTTTTTTCTTCACATAAACATTGCATAAAAATCTTTTACATATTTGGGAGTTTTGTTTTCAATTATTATTTAGAGTATTATATTAAAGAACAGAAATCAGTTTAATGCAAAGAATACTTAATAGATGAAAAATATGTCTGTGGCTTTTTTTTTTTTTTTTTTTTTTTGAGACAGGGTCTCTCTTCTTTTGCCCAGGCTAGAGTGAAGTGGTGCAATCACAGCTCACTGCAGCCTCAACTTTCTAGGCTCAGGTGATTCTCCCACCTCAGCCTCCTGAGGAGCTGGGATTACAGGCTTGTGTCATGGCACCTGGCTAATTTTTGTATATTTTGTAGAGACGAGGTTCATGTTGCCCAGGCTGGTCTTGAACTCCTGAGTTCTAGCAATCTGCCCACCTCGGCCTCCCAAAGTACTGGGATTACAGGCATGAGCCACCGCTCCTGGCTGTTTATCGCTTTAGTTGTTACCTTCTGCCTAAACTTCGAGAAAATAATTTAATCTGTTTGTACTCTAATTTCTTTAAAAGAGATAGCTGTTAATCCTAGCCAAAGAATGTCCATGGCTTTATCAGTAGATACAGAACACAAATTCATTTTAAAAATTATTATTATTTTTCAGGTCATTATGAAATTGTTTCTAAATGCCTTTTGATTTCCAGGTGATCACTTTATAAGTATTGTAGAGCATCAAGCTTTTATGAATTGATAGGAGATATTAGTAACTTCCAAGGATAAAAGAAATTATCATCAATAAAATGATGTTTTGAAAAGAACTTGAAAAATGAGGAAATTCTAATCATATGAAAAAAGTTTAAAATATAGTATTTTTAAGAGCAATATATGTATTAATAGAATAAATTAACCAAAGTTAATGTTTCGTTTAAATGAACAAACCTTTTCCTGCCAATGTAAAATGCCAATTATTGCCAAGATGAAAACACACACGCCGATGAGAGCTATAGCAGTAAGCAGAACAATGTTACTTGGTGTAAGATACAGTTTGGCACTCCAACTGTAGATAAAAGCAGAATAGATTAAAATTACAAATTTTACTTAAAAATAACAGTTATATTGAGAACCCAAAGCAAAATATCTTATTAATTAATGAAACAATTTATTCATTAAACCATTCATTCATCTGTTCATTCATTATAAATAAAAGCAGTTAAAATCAGATAGTGCTGAGAATACTGATAATGCTGTGGTTTATATTTTACTTAGACAATTGAAGTAGAATTTTTGATGAGATATTTCAATATTTTTCATTTCTAAGTTTGATTCCATGAGAATTATTCTTAGGTAAATATATCTAAGGGTACTTTGGACAATCATAGACATCTTTTTTTACATCTTGATCTACCCGCTTAATTTGAAATCTTGAACTCTAAAATGAAGTAGTCACATGAGCCTAGCAGCCTTCTGTATCACCTTGTTTTTGACCTGTGTCACATATATATGACCAACAAAAACATAAATATTTTGCATGTTGATGGCTTCTGCAAAACTTCTATAGTTTTTGTATCATGTTGGAGGGTTTACATTACTACAGTGACTTTTAGGTTGAGTCACTTAGAAAATCACTTACAAAATCACCTTTAGTTCCTCACTGTTAATGACAATATACAGACTAGAGGTGTTTAAAAATGAGAACTAGCTCTTTCCTTCTAAAACAGTCCATGTAATACAGCATTTACACACCCTGAAAAGCCTAAAACTAATGACTGTATCACCAACACTGCAGGTTGTTATATACACATAACTTTTTGTTCTCCCTAGAAATAGGTAATGGATATATTTTTATTTTAAAAGTTTAATAAAGGTAAGAATGTTCTGGTAAATAGCAAGTAGCTATTGAGTTATTGTAGGATAATTTAAATTTATTGATCTATAAGTTAGCCTGTAGTCAATAAACCTCAAAATACACCTCAAACTAAAATCAATTTGGTTTTTATTATGTACATAAATTTGAAAAGAACTTTTCTTTGGAAAGAGTAAGAGAAACATGAAAAAATGTTGAGATTATGGAAAGAAGCTATGGTACAATTTTCTGGAAATTCAGAAGAGTAAGTAAACCTTAAGAAAACAAATACTGTTAGTTAGTTGAAGGCTACTGTTAGTGTTGTACTCATACTTAAGAAAACAGTTCTTTTATGAGATGTTTTTGGTAGTTTTACTTTTAAAATAGATTTTTAACAAACCAGGAATATAAGTATTTTGGTTAAAAAAAAAAAAAGACAAAAGCCAATCCTCGGTTTTCTGCTCAGAGGCAGTCTTACCAGTTTCTTGCATATCCTTTCAGAGATATCTTATACATACATGAACATGTATGTGTAGATATCTTCTTTTTTAATCACAATGGCTGCTCGTTATACATACTCTTCTACATTTTGCTGTTGCTTCTTTTGTTTGTTGTTGTTTTTTTAGCTTACCACTCCATCTTAAGGGGCTGTTCTATGTCCATGGCAGTGAAAAAAAGTCATGATACTGAACTGTATAGAAGTATCATACTTTATATAGTTTCTTACTCATAGTCCAGATTTTCTAGTTTTACTGTAAATGTCATCTATAGAAAACTAACACACAATACAGGCTCATTAAAAAAAATCTGAACCAGGACTATAACTGTTTCAATGATGTCATCTTATTCCAAGCATAAGGCTGTAATAAAGTTTATTTTCTTAAACAGTTTGGTTCTAAAGCCCATTAATCTATCATAAAATGCATCTGCTCAGTTGTGCTGGTAAACTGGCTCTGAGGTAGAGAGGGGTGGGGGAAGCCCTGATACTGGTACCTGCCAATTTTCATGGAGTAGATTCTCTCACCATAACTGATTTCAGTGTGACTTCACTGAATAGAGATGCACAGAGTCAGCTCATGAGGTGGCACAGCTGGTTTTGGCACTCAATACAGTCGATGGAAACATTTAATAAAGAATGATGAAGCCCGTATTTTCAGAGGGAATGTAACAAGCAGGGGACCCCATTGATTACATATTCATAGACAAATTCACCATTTCTTTTTGGTTATTTTCTCATTGATATTTGTCTAGCAAATTTTTCTCTATGAAATTTAAATGTTAGGGAATGCTTTTATTGCCTAACTTAAAAAGAACAGAATCAATCTAGAGGAATTTAAATAAAAATGAACAAAGATAAATTAAGGATTTCGAGTTAAATGCTGTATTATGAAATGAATGTATTCTAATAAGGATAAAAATACCTACTATTCACTTAACTAGCACTGTGTTAAGTATATTTCACCTTCAGATGCAGAAACTGAGTCTTGGAGAGGAAAAAGTACTGGTTCCTACTCTTGCACTCGGTCAGCAATGGCGCTGAATTTTTCTAGCCTACATCTATTTAACTCCAAAATTTGTGCCCAACCACTGGGATATATACTGCTTCTCAAATAATTTATTTAAAAGACCAGTGCTTTATACAAAGATTTAGTATCCTGAAAATTTGAATTTATAACTAGTAAACTGAAGAGCAGTTTATTTAAGTGGAATATGTATAAATCCCTAATGAGTTAACCTGATGTTTTTCTAATAGGATTGAATTGGTTCTTCATGAAAAATATCTGGGACCTTTTATGTAAGTATGTTTAGTCACTTAAAGTTTGCCATAAGCAAATTAAGGGATGGGTACTCATGGGAATACAGCAGGAATATGAGAGAATTTAAAAGACATCACTATATCTATATTTCAGAGTTAGCAGTGTCTTTACCAAATCAGTTCAAGCAAGGACATTACCTTCGAGGGACATTATGAGGGTATGGAATGACAATTAGCTGGGAATTTGGAATGATTGCAGTCCACTCTTGTTTTCGTATAGACTGGAAGAAGAAGAATTTAAGAAGATTTAACATTTAGTACATTTAAAAAACAAAATTATTGTTCTAAATAAATAAGGAAAAATCTCAACTACTTTGAGAGATTCAACTTCTAGGTATGTATTAAGCTATGTTTACCAGTATTAAGCCAAAAATAAGGCTTTTGTATCATCTGTTGGAAAACTTTCTCATCTTTTCAGGGAAAGATTTTACATATATATATATATAAGTATTTGAGACGGAGTCTCGCTCTGTCACTCAGGCTGGAATGCAGTGCCGTGATCTCAGCTCACTGCAACCTCCACCTCCTGGGTTCAAGCAATTCTCCTGACTCAGCCTCCGGAGTAGCTGGGACTACAGGTGCACGCCACCATGCCCAGCTAATTTTTTGTATTTTAATAGAGATGGGGTTTCACTGTGTTGCCCAGCTGGTCGTGAACTCCTGAGCTCAGGTGATCCACCTGCCTCAGTCTCCCAAAGTGCTGAGGTTACAGGCAAGAGCCACTGCACCCAGCAGGAAAGATTATACTGTGTTCTATGAGTTCATTCATTTAACAAATATTTATTAGACACTTATGTAGTGGGCAGTGTTCAAAGGGTTATATACAAATGCTGCTTGGAGCTAAAATTCAAATTAAGGGAGACTGACAATAAAGCAAGTAAAATAATACAATTATACATATTATATATAATACTTACACATATGTATAATAACAGTATTTATGTTAGTAAAATATTTTATGTACATGTTAGGTGGTGAAAAATGTTAGGAAGAAAAAGCGGGATAGAGGAATAGGTGAGGTTTATGGGAGAGGAGAGGGAAAAACTACATGGTATCTTCAAATCATGATGTGCTCCATGTAAGATAAGCTTAGGTCACTACCAATATATTTTTCTTTATTCGCTGAAGGGAATAAAAATATTTTATGTATTTGAATTCAAATTCAATTAGGTTCAAATTAATTTAAATATTTAAATAGTGAATATTAAAACACAGATTAACTGTAAACAAAATGAATTTTTACTCACTTTTTCTCCAGATGGACGGGGAATACCAACATAGAGATGGTCAAGAAAATTTGCACTCCGACCTAATCCAAGCACGTTGTATGGTAGTTGAAGAGCTAAATGTGCGGATTGGCTGAGTTGCCCAGCTAGAATTATTCAATTAAAAAAACATTAAAAACATATCTGGAAACACTGCTCCCATCAAATATTAAAATGATAAAATGTTAAAAATATAGGTATTAGAATAAAACATGAAGTGAAACATACAGTTCATTAATATTAATGATTCACTTTTTTCTTTTTTTGAGACATGGTCTCACTCTGTCACCTAGGCTGCAGTGCAGTAGTATGATCACAGCTCACTGAGCCTTGACCAAGTCTCAGGCCCAAGCTATTCTTCTATCCCAGCCTCCCAAGTAGCTGAGACCACAGGCGTGCGCCACCATGCTGAGCTAATTTTTAAATATTTGTAGAGATGGTGTTTCACTACGTTGCCTGGCCTCAAACTCCTGGGGTCCAGTGATCCCCCTGCCTCGGCCTCTCAAAATGCTGGGATTATTGGCATGAGCCACTGTGCTCAGCCAGTGATTCACTTTTTAAAGAAAATAGCTTTAATGAGATATAATTCACATACCATACACATCACCCATTTAAAGTATACAGTTAAGTGGTTTTGAGTATATTCAAAGAATTGTTCAGACATCACCACAATCTAATCTTAGAACATTTTTATCACTTGAGAAGCTCTATACATATTAGCAGTCATGTCTGTGTCCAACCCACACACTTCCAGCTGTATATAATCACTAATCTGCTTTCTGCCTCTACAGATTTGCCTATTCTGAAGGTTTCATATAAATGCAATCATACAATGTGGTCTTCGGTGACTGGCTTCTTTCACTTAGCATGTTTTCAAGGTTCATCTATATGTTAGCATGTTTCCATACTTTATTACTGTTATTTGCCAAATATTACTGTTGTGTTATATAAATTTAGTTTCATTAATTGATGGACATTTCAGTCATTTCCATTTTTGGTTATTATGAATAATGGTGTGAACATTCATACACAGGGTTTATTGTTGTATTTACTCGTTTTCCTTTTCCTTGATTATGTAGCTAAGAGTGTTTAACATCATAGGAACTACAGAACTGTTTCCAAAGTACCTGCACCATTTTATGTACCAGCAATGAATGATGGTTCAAATTTTTCCACATCCTCAATAACACTTTTTATTGTGTCTTTTTTATTATAGCCATTCTCCTGGTTGTGAAGTGGTATCTCATGTAGTTTTTACTTGCATTTCCCAAATTACTAACAGTTGTTAATCATGAAAATGATGAATAAGCACATGAAAGCTCAACTATACACACACACACATACACACACACACACACATGCACGCGCGTACACACACACACACACACACACACACTCTCTCTCTCTTTCTTCCCTTCTCCCTCGTGTCAGTTAAGTAAGGCATCTGGCCTTTGAGGCACATTTTCTGTTGTCTTTTTTTTTTTTTTAAAGAAATATGTATTAGCATACTTTCCTGTTTCTTTGTAGGTCTTATAATTTTTGTTGAAAACTGGACCTTTAAGATAATAGTGACAACTGTGGTATCACGTAACCCCACCCAAGGGTTTGTTGTTTTTGTTACTGTTTATTTGTTTAGTAGCTTTTTTTTTTTTCATTTAGTGAATTCTGTGCATTCTGTATTTCCTGAAGTGGTTGCCCCCAAGTTTTTTTTAATTTTTATTTTTAAAGTTTTTATTCTATATCTGGCTTCCTACTTGGCATACTTGGGTCAGTATTATTTAGTGGTCAGCCAGTGATTTGTTGTAGGATTTCCCTACATACCTTGCCTGTACATCTTCCACTCTTTGTCAAAGCGATTTGTGTGTGAAGGCATGTCTTCAAAGTTCAGACAGTTTAATGGACAGCCTTAGTTTTCATTTCCTGCTTACGTAGGGCTACATGGTGAAGCAGAAGGGAGCTGAGTATTTGAATGAGGTGTTTTCCTTTCTAGGAATTTGAAAGTCTTCTAGATCCCCAAGAATATGTTGTAGCTTTTCAAAGCTGCCTAAGTTTTCCAGTTTTCTAAGAATTCCTCTTCTGTTTTGACCAGGATCTTGTTTCCTCCACCTTTAATCACAGGCTCTGGTAGCTGAGATGTTGCTGATAGATTACTGTTGTTTTTGGTAATGACCTAGTCAAATGAAATAGCCAAGATACCGAGAATGAAGGTTTTCCAGGGAGTTGCTACTTCAGACAAAATTTTAATAGTAATAGGGATAGAGATTTTCATGCAGCTCCAAGGAGGTCAGTCATATCCATTGGCTGTGAAGCTGCTGGCTTTCCATGGCTACTACACTACTCAATTGAGAAGGGAGGCAGGATGAGAGTAGCTCCAGGTTAAAAATGCTACAGAATCTGTGTCTTATCAAGGATCAATAGTTTTCCCTAGAATAGACAATACTCAGTCCATTCTGTGGCTTTGGTTAATTTCCAGAGTTCTGAAATGGTGGATATTATATGGTTGGCCAGTATTTTTTTGTTGTTTTTTTTGGGGCGGCTCTGGGAGAGTAAGTTGATGTGGTCCTCACACTGCCATTCCAATAGTCAATCTTTTCCTACTGTCATTCACTTTTATAGAATATGTATTTCCCAGGTATTCTTCTACATGCTTAAACTTAACATTTAAATGACAAAGTTAATATATAAATATTTTAATATTCAAGGGGGCTCTGCTAAACATCACTAATGTTATAAAAAATATGCAATCACTGGAAAGTATATTTACCTGATGATATAGTTCTTAAACTGGAAATAGTAAGGTATAATGGAAGGGAACATGAATTTAAGGATAGGCATTTAGATTAACAATGTATCTGAAACTGGAAAATAGTATTGTGAACAGCATGGGATGTAGAATTAGTCCACCTTGTGGAATTGTGCTGATTGAAAGATAGTGTTTAAAAGTAGAGTATCTCACATAGTAAATAATTATGTTAGCTATCTTTGTTAAGATAAAATTTATTCTTAGAGAGTTGAATTAAAAATTAAACACAGGCTGGGCACGGTGGCTCAGACCTATAATTCCAACACTTTGGGAGGCCAAGGCAGGTGTACTGCTTGAGCACAGGACTTTGAGACCAGCATGGGCAATGTGGTGAAACCCTGTCTCTACAAAAAATACAAAAATTAGCCAGGCATGGTCGCTTTTGCCTGTAGTCTTAGTTACTTTGGAGCTGAGGGAAGAGAAGCACCTGAGCATGGGGAGGTTGAGGCTATAGTGAGATGTGATTGCACCACTGCACTCCAGCCTGGGAGACAGAGACCCTGTCTCAAAAACAAACAAAAATAAAAATTAAACAGCTGATTTCATTACACTACTAGCAAAGACTGACTTAACAGAAGTAAACCAAAAATAAAATTCTAAGCCTCACAACTAACTGATGGACAATCTCCTCAGGCATTCAAAAGTTAACCTGAAAAACTAGTTCAGGCCATGAATGGGAAGTGAGGGTCAGACATGCCTCATTATATTCTCCTTTCTATTGGAATTCAGGCACAGCTGACCAGCATTAACAGCAATACAAAGACCTTAAGACTGATAGAATAGACTTTTTAAGTCTGATAAGAAGCATTTACAATCTACTCTATTTGAAGCCTGCTATCTGGAGCCTTCATCTTCACTGATAAAACCTTGGTCTCCACCATCCCTTATGTTAAAAGACTTAAAGTTGACTCTTTTTGTCCACAAGACATCAAACTAGGCTTCTGTTTTCCTGTTTATACTATTAAAATTGCCTATGCAATAAGAAAGCTTAAAATTATTAAGGAGAATAGTAATAAAGAATAAAGTAAAATTATCCAACAACTTCAAATAAAGAGATAATCATCATTACATTTTAGCATACTTTTAGTCACATACTTTTTTCTCCAAGGAATGTGCATGAACAAATAAACACATTTTAGCATAGTTTAGTATTACTTTCACTCAGTATTATTCATGAGTATTTAGTCATCATGAAAATTCTTTAAAAATAGATAAGCAGAGAGAAAAATGATGAAAATACCAAAATCCCATTAAGAGAAAGCCAAAGGAAACACAGTGTAAAAGACATGTATTATTATGTATACTATTAAAGTTATTTTTCCAAAGTGATACCTACACAGACATTACAAAAATATAATTTTCCTGCCTATATAATATCTTATTTAAAAGTTAATTCCTTATTTTTGGAGATAAAGGATTTTTCCTAATCCTTCACTATTAAAAAAAGAATACTTTAGTGAATATCTCTGCAAATCAATATTTGTTTGTATCCAGATTAGTTTCTTTCATTCCTAGATACAGAATACTGGATCAAAGAGTAGTAAGTTTAACACCTATCTTAAATATAGAAAACCTGTTTCCTAAAGAGAGGTTGTATCACTTTACATTTCCATTAGCTTTCAATGAAAGCATCCATTTCAATCCATTCTTATTTTCCAATTGAGCTGAAATTCACATAGCATACAATTAACCATTTAAAAGTGTAAAATCAAATGGCCTTTAGAGTATTCACAATGTTGTGCAACTATCAGTTCTCTCTCCTTTGCAAAACTTTTCATCACTCTATAACAACACCCTGTACCAGTTAAGTAATTACTCCCCCTACCCCTTTCCCCCAGTAACCTCTAAATCTGCTTTCACTGTCTATGGATTTGTCTACCCTAGATAGCTCATATAAAAGGTACCATACATGTGAGCAATTGTGTCTGGCTTCTTTTACTTAGCATAATGTTTTCAAGGGTCATATAAGTTGTAGTAAGTATCAGTACTTCATTCCTTCTTATGGAAAAATAATATTCTGTTTTATGTATATACCTTGATTTGTTTATCTATCCAACTATTGGTGGACATTTCAGATGTTTCCACCTTTTGGCTATTATTAGTAGTGCTGCTATGAACATGGATGTGTAAATACCTCTTTGAGACCCTGCTTTCAATTCTTTGAGTATATATTAAGAAGCAGAAATCCTGGATCATATGGTAATTCTAGGTTTAATTTTTTGAGGAATTGCCATATTGTTTTTCATAGCAAGTGGACAATTTTACATTCCCACCAGCAATGTATGAGGGTTCCTATTTTTCACAGCCTTGCTGACATGTCATTTTCTGTCTTTTTAATTAAAGCCCTCTTAGTGTTTGAAGTGGTAACTCAGTCTGTTTTTGATTTGCATTTTCTTCATGACCAATTATGTAGGACATTATCTTCTGTGCTTATTGGCCACTTGTATATCTTCTTTGCATAAATGTCTAGTCCACTGCCCATTTTATAATAGGGCTGTTCGTGTTGTTGTTGAATTGTAAACATTCTTTTTATAGTCTGGACACTAGAACCTTATCAGAGATAAGATTTGCAAATATTTACTCCCTTTTCAGTTTGTTGAAAAAATTTTTTTTTTTTTTTTAAATTTTGAGATAGGGTCTTGTTCTGTAACCCAGGCTGGATTGCAGTGGCACAATCACAGCTCACTGGAGCCTTGATCTCCTGGGCTTAGTGATCCCAGCTCAGCTTCCTGAGTAGCTGAGAGCACAGGAGTATGCCACGGCCTCTGGCTAATAATATATATTTTTTTTCCTGGAGAGATGAGGTCTCACTATATTGCCCATGCTGGTCTCAAACTCGTGGACTTAAGCAATCCTTATGCTGTGGCCTCCCAAAGTGCTGGGATTATAGGCATGAGCCACTGCACCTGGCTAAAAATGTTTTTTATAGGACAAAAGCTTTACATTTTTGAAGAAGCTAATCTATTTTTAAATTTTGTTACTAGTGCTTTGGGTGTCAAATCTAAGAACCCACTGCCAAATCTGAGGAAAAGCAGATCTATTCCTATGTTTGCTTCTAAGAATTCTGTAATCTTACTCCTTATATTGAAGTCATTGATCCATGTTCAGTTAATTATTTTATATGGAGTCTCACTAATTTTTTTTTTTTTGCATGTCATTACACAGATGTTCTAGTATGACCCATTAAAGGTACTCTTCATTCTCCATTAAATGGTCTTGGTACTCTTGTCAAAAATTAATTTGCCATAGAGGTTTGAATTTATTTATGGACTCTCAGTTTTCTTCCATTGGTTTATATGTTTGTCTTTATGTTGGCACTATGCTTGTTGATTACTGTAGCTTTGTATTAAGTTTTGAATTTGGAAAGTGTAAGTTATCTCAGCTTTGCTTTTGTTTTTCAATTTTTTTTGGTTTTTATTGAGGCCCTTACAGTTCTGTATCAATTTGAAGATTGGCTTTTTATTTCTGCAAACAGACCACCTGAATCTGTAGATTGTTTTGGGGAATATTGCTATCTTAAAGTTTTCCAATCCATGAATATGGGATGTCTTTCCATTTATTAGATTTTCTTTAATTTCTGTCAGCAATGTTTTCTAGTTTTCAGTGGATAAATTTTTCAATTTCATGGTTAAATATATTCCTAGGTGTTTCATTCTTCTAGATGTTGTTGAAAAAAAAGAAACTGTCTTTTTTTTTCTTTTTTAAAAACTTCTTTTTAGACTGTTCATTTCTGGTATATGGAAACAACTGATTTTTGGGTGTTGATCTTGTTCCCTATAACTTTGCTGAATTTGTTTAATAGCTGCAGTAGTATTTTTTTCTGTGAGTTACATGAGATTTTCTATATACAGAAAATCATGTCATCTGCAAATAGAAATCGTTTTGCATCTTCCTTTCAGATTTAGAAATCTTTTATTTCTTTTTCTGGCTAAATTGCTATGTGTAGGAATTCTAGTAAAAAGCAGAATAGCAGGAGTGAAAGTGGGCATCCTCATGTTGTTCCTGATCCTAGAAGAAATGCTTCCAGTTTTTCACCATATAGGATGATATCAGCTGTGATTTTTCTTAAAAATGCTCTTGATGATGTTAAGGAAGTTCCCTTCTATTCCTAGTTTGCTGAATGTTTTCATTATAAAAGGATGTTGAGTTTTGTCAAATTGTTTTTAGTATCTATTGAAATGATCATGTATTATTTTTCCCTTAGTTCTATTAATGCCATGTATTATACTGATTGACTGTCTTATGCTGAACAATGTTTACAGTCCTGGGACAAATCCCATTTGGTCATAATGTATAAAAGCTTTTATTGTGCTATTGGATTTTGCTTGGTAATACTTTGTTGAAGATTTTTGTATTAATATTCATACGAGATTTTTGTCTGTAGCTTTCTTGTGGTATCTTGTCTCCATCTGGTATGAGAGTAATGCTGGCATCACAGAATGTGTTAGGGGGTATTCACTCTTTTAGTTTTTGTAAAAGTTTGAGTAACAGTGATGCAATTATTTTTTAAATTGTTGGTAGAATTTCATCAGTGTAGCCAACTGGTCCTTGAGTTTTCTTTTTCAGGTTTTCGATTACTGATTGAATCTCTGTATCTGTTACATACAGGTCTATTGACATTGTCTATTTCCTCTTGGGTCTGTTTTGTATTGTATGTGTTTCTCGGAAATACATTTTTTTTTGGTATTTTTTTTGAGATGCAGTCTTGCACTGTTGCTCAGGCTGGAGTGTGATGGTGCAATCTGGGCTCACTGCAACCTCCACCTCCTGGGTTCCAGTGATTCTCCTCCTCAGCCTCCCAAGTAGCTGGGATTATAGACATGTACTACCACACCCAGCTAATTTTTGTATTTTTAGTAGAGATGGGTTTTGTCATGTTGGCCAGGCTGGTCTCGAACTCCTGACCTCAGATGATCTGCCTGCCTCAGCCTCCCAAAGTGCTGGGATTACAGGCATGAGCCACTGCGCCTGGCTTTTTTTTTTTTTTTTTTTTTGAGACAGGGTCTTGCTCTACCACACAGGCTGGAGTGTAGTGGCAAAATCATCGCTCACTGCAGCCTTGAACTCCTGGGCTTAAGCCTCCTGAGTAGCTAGGACTACAGGTGCATGCCACCACACTTGGCTAATTTTTAATTTTTTTGTAGAGACAAGGACTCACTGTGTTGCCTAGGCTGATCTCAAACTTCTAGCCTCAAGCAATCTTCATGCCTTGGCCTCCCAAAGTGTTGGGATTACAGGTGTGAGCCACTGTGCCTGGCCTAGATTGTCTAATTTGTTGATATGCAGTTGTTCATACTGTTATCTTATAATCCTTTAAATTTCTATAAGGTCAGTAGCAAAGTCCCGTTGTTCATTTCTGATTTTAGTTATTTGCCTTTTCTCTTTTTTTTAAACTCAGTCTAGCTAACAGAATGTCAATTTTGTTGATCTTTTCAAAGAACCAACTTTTGATTCCTGTGCTTCTCTATTGTTTTTCTCTATTTCATTTATCTCTGCTGAAATCTTTATTATTTTCATCCTCCTGCTGGCTTAGCATTTACTTTGGTCTTCAAGTTTGTTATGGTGTAAAATTAGGTTACTAATTTGAATACTTTTTTTTTTAAACACTGCATTTACAGCCATAAAAGTTCATCTCAGTACTGCTTTTGCTTCATCCAATATATTTTGGTATGTTGTGGCTTTGCTTGTTTTTAGTTATCTCAAAATATTTTTTAGTTTTGCTGATACATGTCTTATCTTCCATAAGTGAACTATTCATGCAAAGTAGTGGCTGGAGTACCTCATTATTCAGAGAGCATATAAAACATATGAATAGTTTTGTATCTGCTTGCTAATGAATGTTTATTTCATTAATGTCTTCATTTGCACAGAATTTCGTTATTTTCTTTTATGTTTACTGGTAGTAAGGAAATTAGTTACCAATGCTTGATAACTACATTCTTTGACAGCTACAGTTATTGCCAAAAGAACCTAAGAGTTATATACAATTAACTTGACTTAGGTTAGTCTTCACCACTCCCAAATGTATAATTCCAGCCATAGAATGCCAATCTCTGAACTCTAGGCTCTCATATCCAACTAAATGCTAAATATCAATATTTTAATGTCTAATACATATTACCAACTTAATATAGTCAAAGCCTAATCCCCAGGGTTCACACCTTTAATCCCAGCACTTTGGGAGGCTGAGGTGGGTGGATCACCTGAGGTCAGTAGTTCAAGACCAGCCTGGCCAACAGGGTGAAACTCTGTCTTTACTAAAAAATACAAAAAAATTAGCCAGGCACGTGCCTGTAGTCCCAGCTACTCAGGAGGCTGTGGCAGAAGAATTGCTTGAACCTGGGAGACAGTGGCTACAGTGAGCCACAATCGGGCCATTGCACTCTAGCCTGGCCAACAGAGTGAGACTCCATCTCAAACAAAACAAAACAAAACAACAAAAAACCCCCATAATCCCTGATTTTATTACCCCTCCCTTCCCTGCTCCATCTCAATTATGGCCACTCCTTCTTTTCACGTGGTCATGCCAGTAACCCTATAGTTACAGTTATGAGCCTCTCTTTTTCTTGTAACCTATATT